AATATCGATCAACCCGTCCGCCCTCGTGTCTCACCTTTTCTTCCATTTCCCTCCTCCTCTTCCTTTATCCGTTCCCCGACTTTATTTCCCCCAAGCGAGAGCCACGCGATGGAATCGTTTCACAGAACGGAGATCGTCGCATCGAGATCGGCCCAACAACTTCTAATAACGTTATCAAAAGTTTATTCCGAAGGCAGGGAAGGGAAGGGAGAAAGAGTTTTCCACGGCGAAACGCCGATGAAAAGGCCATTCCCTCCTCCCATTGAACGATCTGGGGGGAGGATGCACGCATACCAGATCCGGTTACACGTTTGAAAGGGAAGTAATCACTTACCCGGTGGGGAAGGGTATTTTCGCGATGGTATGCGGCGAAAAAAAAGAGCGGTCTGCGGAGAGGAGGCAAAGGAAGTTGCTACGCCTGGGTCTCTTCCGGTCTGCGGATGCCTGGAAGCCACACGGAGTTGAAGCGGAACGGGAAATCGACGATTTCTACCACGGCGATGCCAGAGGGCTGGCGAGCTTCGTCCGCCACGCGTTCCTCCAATCGTTCCTCGTGAAAACGGCCCTCTTTTCACTCCGTTCCATCCTCTCATTTTTTACTCCATGCCGATAAACATCGGATGGGACGAACGAACCCAATCACGATAGAGCTTTGATCGGTCATCGTGCGTTAACTATGACGGACTATTTCGTTAGCTGTCGACGCAAGAATGTTTGCACGAGTCCGCCAAATTTTCGTTTCGTATACATTTTATATTTTCGAAGACGTAATGTAAAAAACGACTCGAATTCTTCGAGTGATAAAATGGAATAATATTGTCGCACGCCTTGAACGCGTTGTTAAGTTCGATCGACAAACAGCATTACGAATATCGGTTCGAAATTTTTGCACATGAATTTTGCAGGGGAGTGTTGATGTTAAAAAACCTTGATAAATACGATGGTATCCCCCTCCCTTCCTCCTCTTCTCTGTATATTTTCGTACACCTCTATTTAACCCCGCGTTACGCGTGAAACGAAATCCGAATTATCCATCGCGACCACGAAAAGTGGTTACTCGATGAAATCGAAAACCTTGTATGCATCCTACGCGTGCGATTCTATTTTGAAACTCCGATTTAAATTCGCTTATAACACTATGGAACGTTCGAGAAACGGCTAAATCGAGAAGAATCTGATTAAAATCCTCGCGAACGATATCGAGGAATTTCCAGGCCCGCTTGTTTGTTACGTTCGACCGGAATTACGAGTCAGGCCGTAAACCTGTCCGTTTGAACGGGGCGTATAATTTTATACGCGCGACACGTCGTACGCGAATATAATCCTTATTTATAGTCACATCGCGCTGGCACCGTGGAAAATTTCCACGGCTCGGCCACCGAGGATTTTCTTACCACCCTTCGAATGACCTGTAATTCTCGCGAACAACGAGAGCTTTGGAGGAAAAGAGGGGGCGACGCGTGGTGGCCGGTTGGGTGGTGGCTCGTAAAGCAACGAGGGCCAGCCTTGCATGGCCCGAGCTTACGTGTCTTGTTCGCCAATAATTCAATCTTGTTTGTGCGCCGTGTCGTCCCGAGTTTGTCGACTGTTTCGAAGCCGGAAGAAATATTGATAATTACTCGCGACTGCGTGTTTCCGGTCACGTATTTCGCTCACGTATCGCGGCTTACACGCCGTATTTTCTTCCCTTCTTTTGCACTTCTTTGCACTTTGAATATTTATGGAATTTTTATGAGTTATCGGCAAATTCGCATGAATTATTTTATTGAAAATTTATAATTAATTTTTTTCACGGGAGGAGGTGGATCGGAATTTTATTTATTTTTTTTTTTTTATTTTTTTATTTTTTATTTTTTTTTTTCCAAACTCGATGGAATATTATTAATAAATGGGAGACGGTATCATCGTATTCGTGCACAATTATCGATTTATTACTATCTGTCTTTGACGAAGCATTATACCGATCATTAATTACCTCAAATACGATCGGCCGCGCGCTATTAATATGTTCATCTGTCAATCATTTTAATCAGCTTCCCTCTATTAATTTTCATGTAAATCGAAGCGAATTGTTCCAAGTTGTATATAGAGAAAATTAATTATAACGAGCTTTTTTCTTTTTCTCCATGTAAATTATACAAACTGTACGCGTAAGAGATGATAAAACGTTATGAATTTTAATGGATAATTACAGTTATTAAAACACTTGATGATTATATTCACCGCCGATAAAACGAAATGGTCGTAATTATAACTTGAAACAATTACCGATATTATTTATACCGATATTCTATATCCGTAATTTATTCCTTGAACTTGCATAATAATTTAGAACGATAATAATAAAAAATGATCGTCGTTAACGCAAGAGAATCTCGTCGGTTGTAAATTCGGCAAGCGTTATGTTGCATACCGGTCGTAAAACAAATTGTTATCGCGGTAGAATTTCGATCGATCGTGCATCATCGCTAGGATATTTCGTTATTTGTATCGTTCGATACCGGTCGACTGATGAATGGCGTTCGACTTGAGGCAGTAGAATGGCCCATTCATAGTCAGCCACGCGGAATGCAGCCTCGCTCGGCTCAAGGAATCGGTTTTCTCGTATTTGCGGTCCGCGGTGGTTACCTTCTATTTATCTCGAATCGCGATTTTAAATATCTCAAAAGCGTTGCGATTAATTATTCGAAACACTCCAATTATTGAACGGATCAAAGGATGATTTAAAAAGGGAGGGAGGGAGGAAGAGATCGTCACGAGAGTTTGAAACGATGATAAATGATCGTATTACTTTTCATTCGTATCTCGAATTTATCTTCTCTAACTATCTTTGATGATTATATCGGCCGGAATTCAGAGGGTTATAAATAAATAAGTGGCGTGGGATGAAAAGAAAATAAGAAAGTATATAATCATTCTTGCGCAAAGAGAAAATTCTTTAATCGATCAAACGTATCCACGATAAAAAAGATAAGATAAGAGAGAGAGAGAGAGAGGATGACGATTCGAAATTGATTTCCTTGGAGGCACCATTTTTAGACCAGACGCGTATGAATATCGAGAATGCTCGATACGTGAAAAGGGAAGCTCGCCAAATACCGAGTTCATGTTCGATCGTTGCAACATATTTCGCAAATATAGGGAAAAAAAAAAAAAAAAAAAAAGAAAAATAAATTCATCCAACGAATACTCAATACATTTTCCATTTATACTTTTTCCTCGTGACATGTAACAAATAACACGAAAATAAATTCCGTTTTACCTCCTTTAACAACCTTACCGTTCTCACCTCACCGCCTTCTTCGAAACACTCCAATTCAAACTTAACCCGAATTTCCGTCCTTTAATTGCACGCTCCTTTGCACCCGTTTTCTATTAAATTTTAATGAAACATATATACACACACCTTTCTCCTCCCACGCGCGAACTCTCTCATTCAGAAGAGAGAGAGAGAGAGAGAGAGAAAGGCAGCAGAAACTTTAAATAATTGCACGCCGGAAGGAAATTCTTTCGTTACGATCACTTGAATCAACCGTGCATACACGCAACACATACAGCGTGTATACGTATACGGAGAAACGATTTGGAGAAGTGAGAGAGAGGAGAGAGGCCAGTCAACGAAATATCCAGTCCCTTCCCCTCCAGTCGCATTCACCGCGTCACATTCACCACGGAATTCGTAGAAACGTGACGCGCAGCGTGTGTATGTGTATGTGTGTGTGTATACGTGTGTACACATCGATGCGGTAAATGCAGTCGCCGCACAGACAGCTCTTATGAAACCCATCCGTTCCCCTATCTAAATATTTGGGCATTTTCATAAGGGTGAATTTCCTTTCCCTGTAAGCCTGCCCCCCTCTTCCCCCCTCCCCCGTGACAAACGACGCCCGCTTCTTCCGACCCGCGGGCTACTTGCACTGCGACTTCCGCTCGTGAAGAACGTACGTCGTCGTAACGTGACGTATCGCCTGTCTATAAAGTGCAGACGCGCGCGAACACCCGTGCGTTTCCGGCTCGGCCAGTGGCGATATATTACGCGCTCCTGTATGTTTACAGGAGGGGAAGGAAGGGAGGAGGAAGGGAGGGTGGTCGAAGAGTGGCGGGCGAATTATTCGAATTGGATGGATGGAAACGAAGGTCGGTGATGGGGGGG